AGTCCCTCCACAGGTGCCCTGGATCCTGTCCATTCCTACCTAATCAGGAGTCCTGTTCCATTAGCTGTACTCTCTCCTTTCCAGATCTTTAACCTCTTTCTCACTACTGGATTCTTCCCTTCAGCACTCAAATATAGGTTAGAACCCTCTATTATAAACAAGGTCAAGCAAGCAAAACTTCCCTTAACTCCACACCTCCCTCAAGCTGTCACCCGTCCTGTCTGCTCTCTATTTATAGCCACATGTTTAGGTAGTCAGCCAGAAGTTTTGCCTCCGCTCTATCTCCTCTTCTTTCCGTTCTGGCTTCCTCCTTCACTCCTCTGCAGAACCAGCTCCTCTTGTGGTCACCATCAATAGCTTCCTTGCTTTGTCTAATGTACATGTTCTGCCTCATGTGACTTGACCTCGCAGCAGTATTTAATGCAGTTAGCCATATCTTCCTTCTCAAAACCCTCTCTCTTCTTGGCTTAGGTGATAAAGTAGTTTTTTGGGGGGGTCTTCTTTATATCTTATGACTGTTCTTTTTTAGGATTTTTTACCTGTTCCTCCTCCTTCCAAATTCCTGAGTTCTTTGGGGACACCTCTCACACTACACTCTCCCTTGGCAATTTCAGCTTCTCCCAAGGCCTTAAAAATATCATCTCTATGGTGACCAGAGTTAGGTCTCTGGTTTAATCTTTCCTGAAACCTTACCTTTTCCATCATAGAACTGAAATTAAATACTTGTTTGGGCAATTATCTGTGTATACTCTCCCCATTAGACTGTAAGCTCCATGAGGGTGGACAATGTCATCTTTATTCACTACTTCCATAGTCCGTTGGGTTAACCTACAAAAAACTGACCGAGCTTCTATGTCATCTTCTGTTCAATGGGCCCACACTCTGCCCGCCAAAGGAGAAAGTAAATGTCTGCCTTCACGGCATTGTCTAATAGCTGGGACATGTCGCAGCAGTCTTTTCTCCAGATATGAGTGTGCATCTATCTTTTCTTTATTGTAGAAAAGGAAGTTCAGATATTTTCTTTGGCCGGAAATGCGGGAATCCTATATTAATAATAATATAAGAACCTTAGCATCAAAGGGTGAGGGGTCTTCAGGTTTTTAAGCAGAGGAATGACATGGTGAACTCTAGACTTTGGAAAGTGAACTGTCATCAGTAAGGAGGAAGAATTAGTGTAAGGAGAGAATAGGGGCGGGGGGATTTGTTGTGATTCTGTTCCAAGAGAGGGCTAATGAAAGCCTTAGCTCTCAGGAGGCATTGAGATTAGAGAGAAAGGGGGAGAGGCGAGACTTCCAGAGATAAAATGACAACTGAATATGGGGTGAGATGGTGGGCAGTGAGAGATCACCCAGCATCAGAGGATTCTAGTATTTCACCCGTCATCTTCTTCAGCAGGCGTCACATCCATGCTGTTCTCTTGCCCTGGAAGGACCTGCCCCACACTTTTCTCCTTGGAATCCTACGCCCCCATCATGATCTCTGTGAAGTAATCCTTGACTACCCCAGGGAGAATGACTCTTTCCCTCCTCTTTACCCACATAGCACTTTGTTCAAATGGTCAGTATTATTGCCAGTTATATATAACACGGGTGCTCAAGCAGTTGACTATATCAAGGCACTGTGCCATCTGTGATGAAATGGCTATTAAACACTAGAACTGGGGGGAGGAAAAAAACCCACCTGCTAATTCGAAGAAGCGTATTTACTGTCTTTATTTCCTTGACTTATAATTAATTGACCTAAAGCAGCTTCTGTCTTTTATTTATTTATTGTTTTCCCTTATGAAGTTCTGCTGGGGAATATTACTTATTTCTCTGATAAGACTTCTATAAAGGTCTTAGATGATACTGCTTTGCTCCTTACTTTGAGTTTGGAGTAAACAGTCTCTTAACTCCAGAAGAGCCTGAGACACTACCACTGAGCTTCTAAATGACTCTACATCCTGAAAACACATAGTAATCTTACTCCAACTCAGCTGGTTCCAATTAACCTCTTAATCTGTGTGTGCATGCTTTAGCAATGTAGCCTTTTAAACAGGACCAGGCATTTTTAGTCCACACTGGATGCATATTATAACATGGTTTAACTCTGATATGCTCTGGGTTGGCTCACACAGACTTCATATTTAATGCTTTTCCTAAAATTTCCCAATATTCACTAAGGCTTCAGCAGCCTTTTAGGACCAATATTTATGGGAAAACACTCAAAATGCATCTGAATTTGTGTCCTACACCATCACCAAAAGCATTCCATCATCTAGTTCCAGCAGAATCCTGGTGATTCCACAAGGCCAGACGGACTGTCTCATTAAGAGTTCCTGATTATTATTGCCCTTCTCTGATCAGAGTCAATCCTTACTCTGCTCCACCCTGATCATTTGCACACTCCTTTCCTATGGAGTTTATCACTTAAAGCCTTGCTATTTTATCTATATTCATGTCTTTCTCTTTAACTGAATCATAAGCTCCTTAAAGGCAGAGACAGTATTCTCTCAGTGTCCTTTCTACCTGCCTTCCTCCTCCCTGATCATTTGCACACTCCTTTCCTATGGAGTTTATCACTTAAAGCCTTGCTATTTTATCAATATTCATGTCTTTCTCTTTAACTGAATCATAAGCTCCTTAAAGGCAGAGACAGTATTCTCTCAGTGTCCTTTCTACCTGCCTTCCTCCCCCAATACTGGATTCCAAACACCATGCCTTGCTTGCACTTAGTTGGAATTCAGGGTTTTAGAAAAGTTAGTAAATTAATGAATCATAAACATAATTTAGGTCATTTTTTTTCCCCCCGCGAAATGCATCACCTTTCTTTGCCTACATTGAAAGTCCTCAGCCTTTTTTCTTCCCACTCATACTGGCTTCCTATAGTTTCTCCCCATCTGTTGGCATTTCTCTCCACCTCTGAAGAGCTTTCCAGTCTGCTGTAACCCTGGCACCTGCACCATCGCTCCCTCTTTGGACCCATTTTAAAAGCTGTTGAATAAGGCTGGCTTCAGTGTTTATTTAGCATTTTCCACTGAGAGAACTGTCTTACCACTCCTGGTTTGTCCTGCCCCGATAGACTGTGGCCAGCCCCCCAAACCCATGGGAACTTTTTAAGAAAGCTTTACGAAGCCTTTTTTGGCAAAGGAGGCTATGTGCAGTGTCCAATTTACCCCCCAAATCTCCCTGAAACTGAAGAATTGAGCGCTCTGTGGTCTCTCTCTGGGTTCTTCTGTTGTACCATGTTTTCTTTCACATAGCCAGGAGGATGCAGGTATCTCCAATTATTCCTAAACATACTGTACGCCAGAAAGGATCCTTGTGTAATGTATGCACCATTATTTTTCAAGCCAAAAAAAAAAGGCTTTGGTGATTACTTAACAGATATCCCTGGTGATAATAATTGTGATGATTCCCAACTCTGCCCAGTACTCAGGATTCTCTGGGTGATTCTACTACCCATTATCACCTCTAATGACCATGTCATTCCCCTGAATGGTGGGAGGGTAAGGATTATTAGCCCCATTTTACAGATGCACAATCTGGGGCAGGGAGGGAGATTTCCTGAATTGCCTAAACTGCCACAGCTTGTAAATAGTGGTGGTGCTGTGTGTGTGTGTGTGCATGCGTGTTGTGGGGGAGAGACTTTCCCACTTTCTCAAGCTTTTGTCAAATTTGTCACGAGCAGCATTTGCTGTGATCGGCTTTGGTTTCTTGGATATTAGGCACCCACTTAAGCTGGCACAAGCTATTTTTTCTGATTTAAACTCTTCTAATCAAATAAATCAGATTTACATGTTAAGAAGAATATCACTTATGGTCTTCCTGGTTTTTGTAAACCTTTATAACAATTTCAACAGGCCTTACCTTAGAATTTCAGGCAACAGATATGTACTGTGAACTCCTCTGTTAACCCTTCTGCTAGACACAGGGCAGGTGGCACAGGGGTAGGGGATGACGAGGAGTGGTGTGAGGAAGGAGTGTGGGGATTGATGGGTCTGGACTCCAGCCCAAGCTCCACCAAAGGAGCACCTTTTCTGAATTTTACCCTCCCAGAGGTAGAGGCTTTTTCTGAATCACACAAATATGCTGCCTTGGCTAGTAGGGTCCTGCTGGAAGGGGGCTGAGGGAGACACAGAGGGTAGCTTACAAGAGAGTCAAGTCACATGCATAAATATTAAAACAAGCACCTGGGCTACATTGGAAAAAAGACATGCTAGAAATGTCACCAAGGATGTCACCAAATGTGGAACATAGCCATAGACAGTGAAGGAAAGCGCAGCAGGAGAAATGATGATGAGCTGGAGAAACTGCAAGCTTCGTAGAGAAGGGACTGTGATTTGGACAGCATGCAAGCCTACCTAAAAGGAGGGCAGCCTAGTCCCAGCCACCGGCAGGGCGCCAGAGCTCTACCCAATGCCTGTTCAAGGAGCCTCCAGTGTTTTTGAAGTAGGTAGGATAGAAATATAATGTTAGCCACCCAGTACAAGGAGAGGAGAGAGAAGAAAGCCAGAGGCAGTAGAGAGGATAAGAGCACGGTCCTGAGCCGGATGCCCTGGATCTGAGTCCTGTTCTACCCATCAACAGCTGGGTGACCTTGGGCAAGCTGCTTTTACTTTCTGGACTTAAACAGCAGCACCTACCTCCTAGAGTTGGTATGAGGATTACATGAGGATGCTTCCTACAAAGTGTTTAGAACAGTGCCTGGCACAGAGTAAGTGCTCAATAAGTGTTAGCTATTATGATGATCATACATGTGTGTAAACATATGCACATGTCTACATTTACCCACATGTACACATATGCACACACAAAATGCCTGTTGTGACCCACAAATAGTGTTAGTATCTATAGATTTGAAAGCTATTATATTCTATAAGACACCATGAAAGGTCAGGGAAAGAAGACTTGACCTATATGTTTTGCTGCTGTTTTTACATAGTTTAACGCTTTGGGATAATATTTGGTGGAAAATGTTGTGATGGAAGTGGCACTGTGAGGGACTGACCTTGGGGTCCTGGGCTCGGGTGATGCAGCACAATGTCCAAGAAGCCAAGGCCTGTTCCTCGCACCATGGCATGGAGGTAAAGCTCTTGCTGGCTACCAACCCAAAAGCCCACGGTCCTATGATCTTCACCCTTCCCAGAGGTGTTTATGATCCAGGCACTGGAGGTTGTGGGAGACCAGTTTCATTGCTAAAGGGAATTTCCGAAGTGGCTCTTCTCACACTTACAGAGTCACCACCCCTCACCCTGCTCTGCCCTGCCCCGATTGGAGGGTCTACAGAGGCCTGCTATTACTTCTAGCCCTGAAGTGTATGTAGTAAATTGGGGCCATCACCCCAAGTTCCACACTTGGTGAAATATGAACTCTTGGTCAAGTTACTTAATCTTTCCAAGCCACATCTGTAAAATTAAGATAAGAATAAAATCTACTTTATGGAACTGATTGTGAGGTTCAGAAATAAGGTAAATCCTGGCGCTCAATAAGGGCAGCCATTGTAATTACTCACAGTGGCAACCACTGTAGTGTTGATGCGATAGGCAGGGAGGAGGGGCGGCTGCTGCTGAAGGCTCACGTGCCACTCACATGCAATTAAGTGACCCTAAAATTCATTGTCCAAACCGGGGCACTTTTGAGATTTAAGAGGGTGCTATCAACAATGGCGCCAGGACCACAGGCATAGATTGGGACTGTCTCGGGCAGACCAGCCCATGATTCTCA